GAAGGAGTGCTCGTCTCGGACAAACATCTCACAACCAACAAGTGCTGCCAGCCCACATAAATAGCTGGTTTCAGGACCCCTACGCAATTCATCATAGCTTAACTTATGTTCAATTTCTAACACATAACAAACCTTAGGAAAATGTGAGCTCTGTCAATGTATCTGCAGTACAGGCGTATGGGATGAGAAGACTCAGTGGGGACATCTTGGAAAGTTAGGAAATCATTTGGCATTTGAGGTGGTCCGGCCATTTCACTAGCACGTTGCAAGCCCAAGACCAGCAGGTCCAGTACAAGACCATAGTATTGTACGATGAAGGATGCAAATTGCAGACCACGAATGATACCATATGAATTTGTATGATTCATATCTTTGTAGTTAATGACAACATTGTTCTTGGCAGTCATGTAATCAGCAATGTTGTGGTCAACTATGAGACGGAGCAGCCTATTGAGAAGAGTCAAATCAATCTTCTCATAGATTTTTTCAAACTTGCTTTCAAGCAGAACATTGCATTCTCCTTCTGAGCAATCCCATACATCCTGAAGATTGTTGATTCCTAAAGAAGAAAGTGAACATTTAAATGAGACCATAACTGTAATAGTATAATTCTTTCAGAAGGGTTACAACATACCTTGACACCACTTGTAAACCAAGAGTGGTGGAGGTTCAGTGTCGGATGGTTTAACCCAAGGTGGGAATAGCCTTCGTTTGTCTGCTTCATACCAAAGGTACTGGTCAAGATAAGCATCAGTAATCTTCTCCAATGGTTCAACATCATAAACAGGAACCAGGTGACTGTATAAATCCATGAATTCGATTCCAACTTCCTTAAATGACCTTTGGGTGAGTAAGTGACGCTTGATACGAGACAAAGCTTCATGAGGGTTGTCATATGCTTGTTCAATAAGACCCAACTCTTCTCTTTGGCTCTGATTGAGACGTGACTTAACACTGTAAGCTTCTTTCAGCCTTTCCAGCGCCAAAATAAGCAGTTTAGTATCGTGCTTGTAAGACAAAGGAGGGAATGGAATAGGAGCAAAACGTCTTGACTCAAGCCAGTGGACAGTTGTTGTGTAGATGGCAACAGCCTCCTCAGGAGAGATGTAAGGTCCATCCTTCAGATAGTTATGTTGACGTTCCTGTTCTGCTTTGAGATACAGTCGAGTCAACCTACCCAAATTCTTCTTACACACGGTCTTATCAACAGTGGCTCCTCTACGAATTCGCTCACGATTGTAATGAGCTGTGTTTGTCCACCAGTCAGCCTTCATTTTCACATATCTTAAAATCATGTTTTCAATAGGTGTAGGAAGCCCAGGAACCTTCCATGGAATGTTGGCTTTCCAGCAGCGCCATGCTTCAGAAAGATGTTGCAAGATAGTACGGGCTTTGTTCTGTTTTATGCCTTCAGGCATCATGTCGACAATGTCATGCATGACCTGAAAATAATTCAAATAGGTAATTAGATGAGGTGTTGATCAAGAAGAAAATTAAACTAAGTGGTAAAGTAACAGTTACTTACAGAAGCACGCAACTCCAGGTCAAAGTGACTCTCCACTCTTTGCTTTGTGACAGTTTTGGCAACACCCTTGGAGTGACGACCTTCAAATTGACGTGACAGCAAGTTACCTAACCATCTTTCCAAAAGTGGTGTGATGCCTCTCATGAAGAACAACCACACTCTCCATCCTGGAGCCCAAAACCCACAGCCAGGACCTTTACCTACTGGTCCGGTATTGAACCGATAGTAGATAAGATGCTTCAAATCCTTGCACATACGAATTTGCCTCATAAGTTTGTACTTGTATCTGTACATTCCAGTTAGTTGACCAACATGGGCAAAGACATACTGGAGACCATCAGCCAATTGGAAGGCATCAACATTGTTCAGGCGGTATTGAACATGTGAATCAATAATCAACTTTGTCAACCGCAAAATTTCTCTGCACAAGTGGAAGGCATTACCAAACCGAGACTTCTTTCTCTCTTTAGTTGTTAGAGTTTTGACTGGCTTCAAATTGAAATTGTAATCCAAGTGGAGGTAGTTCAGATTTTTACGATGAATGAGTAAGTTTAACATGTTGTAGCCTTGTCGACACACTTGGAGGCCTGCTTCAACCCAGTCAAGGGTAGTGGTCTGGAAAAACTTGGTTGATTTAAAGGACCTGAAAAGGTACCTTTTTTTCTGTGGCTTAGGAGGTCTATGTTTCAGAGCATTCAGAACATAGTACTTCAACAATTTCTGGTAACTGACTCTGACTTTAACAGGCTGGCCAGGAGGGCAATGCTCCCTGTACCAACATTTCACAAGTGGAATATCAATGGCTCGTCTTGTTCTTCCTGAAAAACAGAAGAGAATGGTCAATAAAACTGTTCCCTAAGTGTATTTATCGATTATGTGGTAATAACAATAATCAACTCACCAGATCTCATGTTGAAAGGCCTGGGTGCCCACAGAAGGGAAATGCCATTGGCTGTGTTGTCGGTATAAAGGGGTGTTTCTTGGAGGAATGGCTGGACTTCAGCAGGCAGCTCAAAGTCTTCATCATCCTCAGGCAGAGGTTCAACCACCTGTTATATAAACCAAGAGAATGAGAACAAAAGATATGCAAAGAGGCACAAGGATGAGTATGAAGATTCTACTTACCTTAGTTGTATGCCTATGTGAAATTGGGTTAATCAAGGGGTCAAAATAGAAAGCTGGCAAATCAGGATCTTCTGTCTTGATGTACACAACATTAGGTGTGTGATACCTGAAAGAGATTTGTACTTATATTTTTAAAAATGCGCAAATAGGAGGTAAAACAAACACGTTAAGATGGATTTCATGTAATAATGTTTGTGAGCTCAGCATCTGGATCCTATACTTCATGGACCAACCAATAACAGCCACAATTTTATTTTCCACACTGCTAGTGAGAAAACTCAATGCTTAAGAAGTAATCTCAAAACTAGTGTGGAGCATGTTTAGTTTAAAAGCAAGGGAGAAACTTACCATGACAAGTGTACATAGTGAGGCAGGTTGTTGTAAAGATAAGGGAAAGCAATTCTGTACTCTGTACGAATAGGTTGCCTTATAATGATTTTGTTGATGTCATTAAATTCATTCCAATCTTCATCACTGCATGAAAAAATAATAATGTGAAACAATTTCACAGGCTCCCTTAAAAAAATTTCAAGTAATAGCGACAGTACTTACGCAGGGTTTGCATCCTTGATAAGTGGTTCAAATTTGGGACCACCCGGAATGGCCATATTCAGAGCTTTTGCAGTAAAGAATGACTTGTGATCAAAAAGATAAAAGTAGTTGTCATCCACCAAGTCAGTCAACAACTGATTTGCCAGTCGGTAAAGTGTTGCCATTTGAGGAAGTGACAAGTTCCATTTCCGGTAAGTAGACCCATTAACAAACCTGAGACCAAAAAACAATTGTTACACAAAAATGAAAAGGAACAGAAATTTCAATTCTGAGTATTCTGATCTGAACAGTAACTCACTTAGTGCCCACCAAAGGCTTGTGATCATATAGCCATTTGGCAACAGGTCCATCTTCATCAGGGTCTAAATCAATCTGGATGGCTTCAAGTGGCTCCACATCTAAAACGTTGTCAGCATAGTCAAGAGGAGGTTCCTCATCATCAAATGGTGGAAATCTCATACGCTTGAAGTGCCGGCGATCACGTTTCTCGCGCCTCATCATGATCCACATTGTTCTGTGTTCCAGAAGAATAGGAGCTAGATTAATTAATTGAAAAAATTAAACAGCAGGGATTAACACTTAACAAGGAAAAACATACCCCCACTGAGCAATGTAGATAGGTTCAACAACCCATGGGATCTCATTAACAAAAGTAATTGCCCCTGTGATATGGTACAAGACCTTGACATCTCTTATTTGTTCCCATGGCATGGGCATGTTTTCTAACAATTTCATCACAGCATGTGGCATGTACTTCAATGCTCTGAAAAGAATTTCCACAGATAAGTAATTTTTAAAATAAAAAAGATTAAAAAAATTAAATTGAGAAGTTGGAAAACAATCCTCACCCAAGGTAGACTCTCTTATCATGACGATATTTACGACTGCTCATATCACCATGATCTCTCATGATTTTACGGATGTGCTCAGGAGGCATATCTTCCTTCTGAGCATCTACAAAACCAAACTTCCTTTTTTCTGAGAATCTCTTTGATTGAAGCTGTTGCCATTTTTGGGCTATTAAAAACAAAAAATTACATAAACATTTTGGAAATTATAAAACAGGTATTCTAAAAAACGAACTCAGATTCTATAATTACCCTTTTCTTGAAGTTTCTCCTCAGTAAGTACAATATCTCTCGGCTTCTGGACTGGAGGTGCTGGTGCAGTTGGAATTTGCTGGGCTTGCATGGCAACCTGCGATTGCATGGCAGCTGCCACCTGATGGGCATGAACAGCCTGAGCCTAAAAGACAAATGTTGAAGTTTAGATAATGATAGGAATTGTTTCATTTATGTATGAGATTCTTGATGTATCAAATGAATTCTTACCTGAGCCTGTGCCTGAGCATGTGCATGAGCTTGGGCCTGGGCAAACTGTTGGGCCTGGGCCTGCTGCTGCACCATCATTGCAGCCCAGGGGTTGGGCCCCAACATGTATGGAGGGAGCGCCATGATCAGCCGTTAAACGGCACCTAGGGAATGAGATAAATAAAATTTGTAAGTTTTAAATATTACAGGAATAAGAGTTAATACTTGACAGCAAATGGACCAAGTAATGTATTTATGAACAGAATAAATCTGATGTTTGAAGATAAGTGGTCAGTTTAAGGTAGATTGACCGGGCTACAGCTAGGATCGACCAGGATAAGTTGGTATTCCGGGATGAATCCACTTTCTGTGCTGGCTAGTCCTGGGAGAATGCTTCTGCCAAAGCAATGTCAATCCGACCTATCTAAATGTATATGATAGTTCTCATAGGTATCATTGTTGATGTTATGTTAACGTCAAAGGTCCCATACATGGGCCTTGATATTCTCTCCGGGCTACTCCCCTCTCATAACAAGGAAAACCAAAATAAAAAGGAACAATTAAAACATCAGGATCATAATAAGAAAAATAGAAACAAGCAGCTCGGCACTCTCCCTCAATACCGTTACATTTCTAGTTGAAACTCAAAGTGTCGGTCAGCTACACACAACTGAACCTGGGTAAAAACATACTGGTTACACCACATAAAACCAAACCAGTCAGGTCAATCCTAGTTTTCACAGGGTACGCACCTCAAACCATAAAAAATACACCGAACCATTCAAGAATAGAAAAAGAGTAAACAACCTGATAAAAGCATCAGTTTAGTTTCTCCCGCGGCAATCAAGCAGCGATGGCGGGGCAAACAACATAACCTCACACCCATTGCATGGAAACTATCGAAATCACAAAGCATATTCATATAGACATAGGAATAGAGTACAGTAGAAGGAAAAATGATCAAAACTAGCCCTCCTCCCCTCTACTTCTATGATTTAACGAAAATGTATTACAGTTCAGCAGCAACCAGCTGAACGGTGTCCAAACGACACAGAAGCCGATGATGCCGACTACGTTTATCATTGATTGAAAGAGTTCGAATACACTATTGCAAACAATACCAAAAGAGCACGTTTACTTTAATCGACGAATTCTTACCGAAATACAAAGAAGAGATCCTGTAGTTAAGTGCGCATTTTCTTCCACAAAATTAAGAAACACTGACGCTATCACAGCTAAGTCCGCACTTCGTGTGGTGAAACAAATAACAAAGTAGCAGCCATTACTGAACCAAGCAGACCAACATAAAAAAGATAAAAAGCTATTGGGAAATCGTATTGCGCGTTTTTAACGTATATCTGAGGTTTAAAAAATATTTCTTTTATAGCAAATTAGTCAATTTTAAAATTTTTAACATAATTGTTTCTATAGTATTGCAGGAATGACTAACAAAAACTATTGCTTTTGTGTACGAAAGTTGTAGTTTTGGAGAACACAGGGTACTTTCTAAAATTTTACCAACCTCTTTTCTGCAAAGTCTACAGCCAGCGAATATTTTTCAATAAGATAGATGTCAGTGACTCCAATTTTTAAACTCAATTTTTACATGCTACTGGTAAAACAGATCTTTAGCGCTATAGTGAAATGAAGTCATCCTAAAGTAGACAAATCCAGAACGTACCTTGCAAAGATTTAAAGAAGAAGAAGCTCCCCGTGCGAGCCGAATCGAGTCCGAGCCGAGCCGAAAGGAGTCTTCAGCACGAGGCGAATCTACGCTTGCGTTGGTTCAGTGCTGGGCTGGGATTTTCTGTGGTTTCGCATTGTCAGTTTAGCGTTGAAGTATTTAATCGAACAGAATGAGTTCTCTTTTGAAGTCTGTCATGCGGCTGGCGCCCCTAAAGTCTGTCACATCTCCCCTCCGGTGGTCCCTAGCATCAACCTCCTCCCGGCCCTTTGCTAGGAGCCTTTGGCACATGTGTTCGTCCCGGGACGAGTCCTCGTCGCTAGCTGGCCTGAAAATCGCGACTCCTACAAATCTCTGTAACTGTGGCTGCGGCAGTCGAAGTGTTCACACCAAAGGTATCGTATGGAACACACTGACAATCTACCAACTTACTATTCAACCCCTCGTTTGAATTGTGCAATACTTAGTGAACAGAATGTCTACAGTCAGTTTCTGTCCCCTCTCAGGTGAACGTGAACTAATCGAGTTTTTGGCAGAGGAAATTGCTACAGAGAGCAAGAATAGAAAAGTAAAAACACTTCCTACAGAGGTCGAAGGTTTTAAAGTTAAAACTGACGGAGCTGATGTTGTACTATCAAAATCGTCTGGAGATGAAACGTAAGTTCGCATAGTCATTTATCACTACTTTGAAAAATACCTGTCCACCTGTTCATGATTTACTCTTTTTTCAGGATTGAAATTCATTTCAATATTAATCACACTGTAGATAATGATGCTGAAGCTAATATTGATCCAGCCATGGATAAACCAGATTTTGGTGAACTGAAGTCTAAACCAACATTCGATGTTGATATCAAGCGTGGAACCAGTACTCTTAGTTTCACTTGCTCATTCTTTGAGACAACTGAACCTACTGAAAGCGAGGATGGTTATAGTAGGTATCACCAAACTTATTTCCATTGCAAAGAAAACGATCGCTATCCTCATATTTTATTTTCCTATTTTTAGATGATGTCTTTGGTATTGATGAGATCTCCTTGTTTGATGGTGCATGGGATGACAAACATTATAGTGTTGCTGGTGAAATTTTGGATGGGGTGAGTGGAGTATTATTTTCATACTAATTGTGTTTGCATTTCTAATTCAAATTCAGTGCTGGTAAAGCAAATGCACATAATTTAACCTTGAGTTGTTACCACACAGTTGTCATGCCAGTTGTCATTTTTTGTTTTCAAAATGTGCATTTTATCTCAAGTATTGTAAATTCAATTATTTCTACTAACTGAAATTTCACACAATTTAATTTTCTTTACAGTGTTTGTATGACTTACTGATGAATGTATTGGATGAGAAGGGTGTTTCTAACGAGTTTGTTGAGAAACTCTCAGACTTCGCCACAGCATATGAAAACCACCTCTACATCAATATGCTTCAAAACATCCAGAAGTTTGCCACCAAAAAGTAAATTACCCTGTCACATTTTAACTAAGCCTTTGCATGTTTAAATTTAAACCATTATGTTCCAAGCATCATGTTATGTTAAGCTAGTCTTATTGTTGCATTTTTTAATTTACATCTTGTCATAAACCCTGATCTACCTGTATGTCCCAAAATGTTTGTAGACTGACTGTTCCGAGTAAATGTTGTATTAGTGTTATCTGTCTTTAATTTATATCCTGACCCACCCATTCAGCAGGCTGATTACGAAGCTGTCTGAACTTTGAATAAACATGAAGTCCGAGGTAATTCCCTTTGGAACAACCAATGTTCATTTCTGCACAAGAACTTTCATCACCTTGCAGCTCCGTTTGTGTGAATAAGATGGGCTTTTCGAACAATGTAAAGTTAAGTGCCGTTCTTTGCACCCTCGACCAACACGATCGAATGTGGATATTAGTTTGTGTTTTTCTCTCAACCCTTTCAGAGCTTGGGCCCCTGCGCAGTGCTGCGCCCTGGTGGCCAGGTGGGGAGGCTGCAGGCGCGTTGTCGGCGTCCGTCGACAGGTGGCGCGAGGGGTCCGCGCTACCTGTGCCTCCCGCGGCCCCCCTCGCCTCGCCCCCCTCTGCCTACCGCGGCGTGCGCCGGGCCGCGGCCGGGCTGCGGGGCCGAGCCGAGCCAACCACCAGTAACGGGACGAGAGCCGGCCCGACCCGACCGGACCGCAGCCGAGCGCGAGGTACCCGTACCCGAGTGTACTATGTTGTGCCAGTGACGTCGGCGTCAAAGAGTGCATCCGCGGACCAGTGATTCCCTCGCTGCATCGAGTGCCCTATGGATTTTGTGGATACGCCCCGGCGCTAGCAGGACCGCCGCACCGCAGCAGCGCCTCCTCCAGCCCCCACGTAAGTGCGGAGGAGGCTGCAAAGCCCTCCTGCCGAGCCGACCGGGAGCGGCTGGCCCGTCGGTTGTCGGTGTCGGGCTGGCGCTGGTGCCCGGCCCCGGCTTGCTCTCAGCTCTCCGCCGGGCTCTCTCGCTCTCGCCCCGGCTCTCTCGCTCGCTCTGCGCGTAGCTCCGCGGTAGGCGAGTACAGGCGGCTCGGTCCGGCCCACGGGTACTGAGAGTACTGACCCCGGCCTGCCCCCCTCTCCCCCGGCCCTTCCCTCGGCTCCGCAAGGGGGTGCGCCACTCTAACGTTTTAATCCGACATGGAGACCTTTACCGTCACGTGGTCGCTGACAAAGCTGCAGGAGTTTTCATCGGAAGCCTAGAAACTGCCCTCCTCCCCCTCACGCCCCCACCCCCGGGGGTGCCTGCGCAACCGACCGCGCCTGGAGTGGGCCACCTCAAAACACCCCCAACCATATCAGGTCGTTCGCGCCCGTCGTGTCCCTCCTACTGTGGCGGCGCCTAACACCACCCTCACCACCCTCACTACCCCTCACCTTCCTGTGCCGAATTACACGGCCAGGATGCGGCCCGGGGCCGGGTGGAGGGCCGGCTGCACGACGGCGGCGGGGGAGGACCCAAAGGGGGAGGGAAACCTTACTGCTGGGCGGGCCTGGTTGGCCGACCTGGGCTAGGACCGAGGCCTCACGAGGGGCCTACCGGGCCTGGCCTGCTGGGGTCAGGGAGCGAGTGGCATCCCCTTCGCCGTGCTCCTCGCACGGTCAACGCCCCCATTTTTTAGCACGGCTGTTATCGCTGTCTTAACAATTTTAAGACAGCCGTGCGAGTACGTATGTCCCGTGCTGAAACTAATCGCCCTGTAAGACCCCGCTTAAGTGGCCGCCCGCAGGTCTTGCCTTCTTTTTGTTGAGGACAGTGTAGGGCCGCGGTGCGCTCGGCAGCTGGTGATCACGCTCCTAGGGCAGGTGGCTCTGTTATCTGCCCGTACGTATCGTGAGGCCGACGGGTGTTCGTTTGCACGTCACGGCGGCGGGGCGGCGGGGGCACCAGGGC